GCCTCCCACATGAGTGCTGCTTCCTGCAGCACCTCACTTTCCTTGAAGGCCGCTTTGCCATGATCTACCTGGATCACAGCACTTGGTAGATTCCAACAGATTTCTGGCCATTAATAAACAAAGGTTGGTCAGAGTCTGGCTGCAGCCATGTTGATGACCTGTATCGGAGACTCTTGTGCCCCTTTACAAAAAGCAAAAATCCCCAGGTTTTGCCTGCTTTTCCTTTTCCTGTTAATTAGGGCAGTGGTTCTGCATTTATGAATGGCACATAACAGAGACAAGAAGCGTAACCCCCTCACTACCTCCCATCAAAGTGAATGGTGGGTGTAGCGCTGAGAACTGATCCTCAGAGGTGCTGGTTTGGATAAATATTTCTGCAAATTGTCCTCAGAAATGCTGACTAAAGTCACTTCATTAGAGAGCCTCTGACACAGAACGCAGAAAACTTAGCAACAGGAGCAGTAATCAGATCATCCAAGATATTTCCTTATAAAGTGTTGGTGGGGCTGCAGAACACTGCCAGCATGAGTGGTCCGTACTGCCAGTAATTCCCCCTCCTTTTTCCTTTCTCTGTGGCAGTAAAGACTTGGTTTACGTGAAATCCACACCCTTGGCAGTAAGGTTTGTGTGGAGATTGCTGAGATGTCTGCAAGATGCAGATTCTGTAACTGTCATGTCTACAAACTCAAGAATAACACCAGGATTTTGCAAAACAAAAATGTTTTATCAAAGGGTGCATGTCACCCACCATGTAGCCATTCAGAGCAGCAACAGAAGTAGCTTTTCAGACAGCCCTAAAACAAAGGACATGATTCCTGAGAACCTTTGAGGCAGCGTCTTTTAACACCCCTTTTGCCATCCTCAATATAAAGAAACCTAGGGTCACTTACATTGCAGAAGCAAAGGACTGTAAAAGCAAACTAAGGTATGCTTCTGTATTACTTAACTCTGTCTTTCACTAGTTGAGAAAAATGTCTCAAACAGTTCTTCTGATTGTAGGACAACCTAGCATCCAAGCAACTATCCCTTGAGCTCCAAAGAAATACATTTTTTTCTTTTACTGTTGAATCGTGTTGAGTACAAACCAGATGCAAGAACCAAAGGCTCCAAAACGTAATTTACTTTGTTTAATGATTCTGGGATGAGGTTGATGTGAGCTTTGGGAAGTTTAGTTCTGCTTTGAATTCAGTGTTTCTAACCCCTCTTGGGATCTGGAGCTATGGGAGATTGGGCTCATCCCTTAGGCCACTACACAAAGGGATCTCACAAAACTGGGTGACTGGGCAACAAAATGGCAGATGAAATTCAATGTGGTTAAGTGCAAAGAAATGCACACTGGAAAACATAATCCCAACTATATATACACACACACACACACAGAGATCTGGTGTTACTGTGAATAGTTCTCTGAAAACATCTGCTCAATTTACAGCAGCAGTCAAAAAAGCTAGTCATGTTAGGAGCCGTTAGGAAAGGGATAGATAATGACAGAAAATATCATAGCACCACTATGTAAATCCATAGTACACGCACACCTTGAATACTGCTTGCAGTTCTGGTCACCCAATCTCAAAAAAGGGCATATTAGAATCGGAAAAAGTACAGCAAAGGGCAACAGAAATGATGAGGGGAATGGAACAGCTTCCGTATGAGGAGAGATTCAAAAGACTGGGACTGTTCAGCTTAGAAGAGAGACGACTAAAGGGGGGAGATGATTTTATAGACATCTATAAAAATTGATTGGGGTGGAGAGTGAATAAGGACATGTTGTTTACCCCTTCACATAGCACAAGAACCAGGGGTCACCCAATGAAATTAACAGGCAGCAGGTTTAAACTAAATGTAGGGAGGCACTTGTCTGCTCTTATACTGGTATGTAGTGTATGTGTAACTGTGCACCGCAGTGAAAGGCGGGCTGTGTCCCCACTGCAGTGCAAGGCTCTGGCAGCGATGGGGAGGCTGCAGAGAAATGCTCTGCCAGTTCCCTGCTCCTGGAGTCTTTCCCTGTAGTGAGGAAAGGGGTCCTGCTGCTGGAGCTATGCTCCTAAAAATAGCAGTGTAGACATGGGAGGTGCTTCTTAGGCACGTAGAGAGCCGTGTAGAGTATATACAGTAGGTTCTGCTGTATCTCTACTCACGTAAGCAGGGCCTTAGCATCTAAACAGCCGTTTCCCCTTGCTAGGTGGGTGTACGGTGTCTGTACTCTACGTGCTGGAACAGTTGTAGACCTGCTTTTCTATTGTAAGACCTTTCAGGCAGAGACCCATCTTGTGTGTGTGTTCTGTGAAGCACTTAGCACAACTGAACATTAATCAAAAATCTGTGTTATGGGGAAATCGGCAGACACAAAACCAGATGCTGGAAGGGTACCGAATTCTAGTGATAAGGGTGTTTGTATTACACTGTTGGACTCTGTATGGGAAATCCATGCAGTGCATTTATTTGTACGTGGGAATGTTTTCAAAGCTGGCATTTTTCTGGTGGGATCATTGCCTTCTAGAACCTCCCAGAAGTGACGCTGTCCATCAGTCTATCCTTTTAATATGTGCAGGCCATCTACTCACCTCTTCAAATGAGTTTACACCTTTCTGTTTTCACTAGCTTTGGAAAATGGCCCTTCTTTCCCACAGGAAGGTGCTAAATTTGACAGTTCTCTTTTCACTGTAGCCGTTTCCCAGCCCCTTACCATCATGAACTTTGCATCTGGAAAATGCATTAATGGGAAAGGGTTTACCCCCAGACTAAAACTAGCATAACCCTTGGCTAAAGGGTTCCAATCTATGTTGTAAACAATCGTCTTTGCAGATTTTGGCTTCGTGTAGCACTTCAGTAGTGGGGTATCTTTAAAATGGTTACCAGTGTGCAGTGTAGACGTACTCTTCTTTTGGCAGTGTGTAGAGTACGTACACTAAACCACCCCTCTTCCCCTCCACCCCTCCCCAAAAAAGGTGTGTATATATAGCAGTGTAGACACTGAGGCGCTGCTTTGGGACTAGAGTAAGGACATTCCTAAACCTTGTGGGGATGTACCTCCGTATGGACCACGCTCTGCCAAGCAGTGCCTCCCCCCTGCAGTGTAGCATCGTGCTGCAGGGGTCTTTCCCTGCCACAGAGGAAGATTCCAGCAGTGGGGAAAGACTGGCAGCAGGAAAGGTTACATACCGCGGTGTGGAACAACCAGCTTTTCGCTATGGCATGCAGCTACAGGTATCCTACACCCTGTTGTCAGCGGTATGCAGTGTAGACATAGAGTAAAAGACCTTCTCCATGGCCTTGTCTACACCACTTTTGAGGGAAATTGCCCATCATTGTGCCCCCACTGCTGCAGTTCCAGTAGCAATGACTAGGGAGGCCTTAAGCAGCCACCAGCATTTAACCACCATACTCGCCAGACCTCTTCTGAGCGGGGTTAAATGATGTGCTGGTTATGAACACCTGTGCCTTGGCTATGCTATCACTCCTGACATGCCTTCTGCCAGTGGGGGGGTTGTAACAATGGAAGGCTTCAACAAAGAAGTTTAGCACACAATTCTAGAGATCAGGCAGCTAGCAAAGTTGTGATGCAAGAGATTTTATGCGCAGGACTTCTGAAGGAGCAACACTTTCTACAGTGAGTCTTGAGCTAGCACTCTTCCTTTAATGTGAAGCAACAAACTTTTGCTGCAATGTAAACATTTGGCCAGCGTGGCTTATTTTGTGAATGAGACACACAAGATTTGACGTGTGCCAAAACATCTGAGTGTAAACCATGAGTCTCCTGGACTCTAAGAATGAATTCCAGGGGTGGAGCCTAATGTCACCACCGGTGGTGAAATGAATTTCTTTTACACCACCTACCGTAACACTCTATGGACTGAAAATACATTCAATGTTTTCAGTTTGAGGGGGAGCAAGTGTCTCCTCACAGTTCTTGCCTGGCTTCTGTTTTAGTTGCCTTTATGGAACATCCTTTCAGGGGAAGAGGATGCATAATTCAGAGAAAATATGGATTCTTTTTGTTAATCTCTGTGCTGTTAATTTGGCCTGTTGGGGTGGAGGGAAGAGAGCATGGGTGGGGGGGGTTTGCCAATTTCAATCATAGATACAACCATCTTGAGGAAGTGGCAAACTCTGATTCGATGTACATATATGAACAGGTGTTGAGCAGTCTAAAATTCCAGTGGTCTAGGAAGTGCAGTTGTGGAGGACTCGCCAGCGTGATCACGTGGCAAGCATTCTTAGAGAATGGGAGATAAAAATAGAAATGTACAGTACAGAACGAATATTGCTCAGTACACACAAACCTTCTGAAACAGAAGATAAACTTCTTATCTAGACATTTATAGGCACATCACTGCAGCTAAGGCCAGCCTCTGGTCTGTGTACTCTAGCCTCCTTACATCTGTCAGGCTAGCTATTGTTACCCTGAATGTGCCAATCGGGCCCTCCTGGTAAGAGCAGCCCCACAGAGCAGAACCTCTATGGCTATGAATTTGTGATTAGCCATTTGGGACGTACAGAAAAATAGAATTGTCTAACCCTTTCTCCTCCCTCTTTTTGGTAGTTAAGTGACACTGTTAATACACTCAGTCATAATACCGATGCTCACTGTGCTGTCACTCACTAATTCTGGCTTATGCCCTCTCTTTTCAAGGTGCGGGTGTACAGAGCTGGGCTGGAGGAGCACACACAGATAGGCTTCTCAGGCAGTGGAGTGCTACTCTGAGTTTCTGGCAAGCTTGGGAATTGAAGACAAAATGCTGCCTGTCCTTATGATAGCTGAGAATATGCCACAACTGTCTTGGTTGAAAACTGTTCCACTGTGCAATTATCTTTGCTGTCAGTTTTTCCTAATCAAAGCAAATTTTACCCTGTTTGAACTTCGGCCAGTTGCTTCTGGCTTTAAAATTGGATCCAATGCTAATAGTTAGTTTCCTTTCAGGTATCAGAGTATCCCTTCACCATGCTTTGGTCCACTGTGTTTAAAAGAAATAAGCTTACTGTTCGGTCTTTCCCACTAGGTAATGCCAGCAGCCTCTTCTCAGTACTCATAAAGTATGACATCTGTTCTCCAGAAATGCACTACTTGAGCTTTGCTTTCCACTGATGTCCCCTTTGTGCTGTCTAGTTCTTTCCTTTAACAAGGAGGTAAGAAATTTAACAAGTAATAGAACTAATAAGGTTTGTGCATGATACAGTTCAGCTAATGTTATCTTTGTTTTAACCCTCATCCCTCTCTTCCTTTGTTACCTTGTTCTTAGTTTAGAATTACATTGTAAAGGTTCTTTTCAGGGCTTCACTTCTGTTGGAGTGGTATTGCTCTGAGCATGCTTTGTCTTAATACTTCAGTTGGCAGTTGAATGGGCAGAGGATACCCAGGGATAGAGCTAATCAAGCACAGTAGTCGTCCCCCCCCCCCCCCTTTTTAAACTTTTTTTCCTCCAGCTATTTCAGTAGCTAAATTAACATGTTGACAGCACTAAAATGCTAAGTTCATGCTTACAAGATTCTGTCTGCTGCTGGTCCCCATTCTCTGAAGAGTACACACCTGAGCAAAACTTGTAGCACTGAGCATCTCTGTGATTTGCAGAGACTGTCTTAATGCAAAAGAAGCCCATTGAATTTTTTTTTAGCCTGTGGCTTGTAAATAAATAAGCCACAAAGCTCTGTTTGTTGGAAAGATTATCCCTGTCCAGACCCAGAGCCTTGCAATAGTTTGTCTCCTGTCGCTCTTTCCTTTTGGTTCCTCTCCATAACCTTGGGTGCCTTCACCGTGTCTAGTGTCCTTCCAGCGACATTATGTGGTTATTTTCTAGACTGGGTTTTTTTTGTTTTTTGTTTTTTTTGCATTCAGCATTGCTCTTGGGTCTTTGGGGGTGGAAAATCCTTCGGGTTTTCAAAAAGATGTTCAAGTCTATTCCCATCAGTGGTAACTCTGGGAACTGCAGGTACAAAAGGATTAATGGCAAACAAATATAGTACATGTGCAGTCCCAAGTGGAGCAAAAATATTCAGCATCACAGCCACTGCTGAACAGTTCAGAGCCAGGCCTGTATACATTGGCTGCTGTTCTCAGCTTAGCACCAACAAATAAAGCAAATGGATGGGCTTCCAAGAAGGGCCTGAGAAATGGCTTTCTGCTGTGGCCTGTTGCTTTTGCTGCTGACAAATGAAGTGCTAAGCATGTGACATCTGGATAACCATAGTCTGTCCTGTGCCAGTGTGTTCACATCTGCTCACAACCCAGTGGGTGTGAGGGAGAATAAACAAAATTCTTATTTCAACAAGGGCAGGTGCTGTTTTTGCCTTTTAATCAGCCTGAATGTAAGTTAGTTACACTAGTTCTGGTGGCAAGTTCCGAACTTAAGTGCAGCTTTTCTTCTAGTACTGCAAAAAGGCGCAGCTGATGTGTGTCCTCGCTTCCTGAAGGACTCTGAAGACAGCTTTCCAGAAACTCAGATAGAGCGTAATGTTTGTTATATGCTCTCCAAACGTTGCCCTACTGTCTGCAGATTGGCATGCAAGAAATAGAACTACAGTGTACTGCTGAATGGTCAACTACAAACTAACTTACCTAAAATTTACAGGTCAGGCCTATTGAGGAAGGGGAGAAAATAATTTGCATTTGATTGCATGTTTTGGCACTGGTGTACCAGAAAGTACAAGGTTCTTTTCTAGTACTTGTATGAGTGGGGTGGCAGGGGGGTGGGGGGAAGAGAAGAATTCCGATCATTTTGGGTAGGCAGAAGTGGTGCATGATCACCTTTTGGCTTTCCCAATACTGTGCTATGTGCTTTCACTTAAATCAGCCAAACAGATTCAAGGCTGCAAAGTTTTGCTTCTAGGTTTTTAATGTGAGGAGCTAGTGGATCATTAAGGCTGAGCAGCAGTAAGGGACTAGATAAAGCATTTTTGTTCTTGTTCATATAGATGGGCTTGCCTTCATAAATCCAGTCACTGTCTATGCAACAAGACAAGTCCATAGGGTATATTTTGGGAGCAGACTGCTGACCTAATCTGAACACACCTTTGTGTTTCTCAGGCTTGGAGCCAAACTAGCACCTTCCACATAAGGCAGGAGTCAGCTGGAAAGTTGCTTAGCACAGCCCCTTGTTGGGGTAGGCAAGAGTGGCTAATGACACCCAACACCTCATTTGTTTGTTTCTGGTAACGAGTTCCCCACATTGTTAGCAGGGCCATAAATTCGCAGAGGAGCTCAATTTACCAAAATCATGGAGTTATTTTGTAACAGAGAGAGATTTATTCTCCTGCCAGAGTCTGCAAAGAGAAATATGCATTAATGTAAGCTCATCGAGGCTGGGATCGTCTGTTGCTCTTTGTTAGACTTAGCACACTGGGGTCCCAATCCTGATGGGGTCTCTAGTTGTTCCCACAATCCAAGTGATAAAGTTTATAATTAGTATGCTGCTGGGTTTTTTAAGTTTATCCATTTACACTAAGTTAAAGTCTCAGCTGTGCACACTTTCAAACAAGCAGTTAAGTTTCTGGATATACAGCCCATCTCTCCAGTTAATTGCATGGATGAAAATTGTCCTGACCTTGGTCGGTCTGTCACAAAACTGCAAATAGGCTGTGGACTTCTTTGCATTCCTCTCTGCTGTGGGAGCTACAAAGGTCCTAGGGAGACTGTTTTCAGAGTAGCAGCCGTGTTAGTGTGTATCCGCAAAAAGAAAAGGAGTACTTGTGGCACCTTAGAGACTAACAAATTTATTTGAGCATAAGCTTTCGTGAGCTACAGCTCACTTCATCGGATACAAAGCATAGTCCAGTCCTTTATACACTGCAAGCGCAAACTGGGTTTTATCTATGTCCAGAGCAGTGGTTCTCAACCCGTGGGCTGCATGCAGCCTAGTAAGCGCACAGCATGCTTTTGCATGTCTTCCATGCTCCTTGCTACCTTTTTGTTGTTAAGTTTTTGCCCCTTCCCTCATAGAACTCTTCTTTCAGGTATACTCATTGCAACCCCCAATCAGAATAAATGTTTTAAAACTGCCAGGGCTAAATAAACTAGTGTTCGCAGACTTAGTGAAGTAACTTCCTGCAGTGATGCTATATGTGATCCTTCTTCACTAATCTGTGTATAAGATTTTTTTTGACTATTTCATGAGTAGTGTTAATGCTATACAAAATATGGCTTTGCTGTAGAAGCAAAGCTTGTTGGGTTAGCAGTTGCTCATTGTGAACTGCCTGGCTATACTACAGCCCTACTCACAGCGTTGTGTGCCTGCAAAGGAAGACTTCCGTTCTGTCCTTGGTCAGAACACAGTCTGCTCTGCAGCTGTCTCACTTCTGTACCAAAATAGACACGTTGTACTTCTCATTCAAAGTGGGTCACACTGTCTGTCTGATTTACTAGAGGGACTCAAACACTCACAGCTCTGGAACATCTCTGGTCAAAAAGACACAGATCTATAAACCACATTAAAAACTGCCTGCACTGTATTGTCCAGTAGCTCAGAGAGGTGGCAGCTTCATTAAGAATCTGAATGTGTAAACACAGCTTGTGGCTGACTTTAATCATGCTAGTAGCCCCATTGAGCAAAATTACATGTGTGCTTAAGTGTTTGTGGGATTAAGCGGTAGGGTTGCTTCCAACTTAATTAAGAGCCACTTTTAAACTGTTTTTAAGAATATGCACGCAATGGCTTTGCACATTTGCACAGACTTAATCTATTTTTGTAAACAGATGTTTGCTAAATTGGTGCAAATTGTATAGACACAACCTGCTACGTTATTCTAGCTAGAAACTTGGACTCCCCATTGCACCTTATACAGTAACAATATTGGACTTTTGTCAGGTACAAATAACACCCCTTGTTCCACCACACACAGGACAAAGTCAGCCCAGTAAGTGTTAGATTAGAAGGCTAATTTTCTGTTACTAGGTCAAGCTTTCAACCTACTGACTCCTCAAAATTGGATGAAAGCCTTTTTTTTTTTTGGTGAGTGTTCTACTTTTCTTAGCTGTTCTGTTTTTACTAGCTGTTCTGTTACGAATAAGTGACTTTTCCTTCCCCTGGAAAAAATCCGGTGGAGCAGTGTTGAGTAGGCTATTTAATATTGCTTAGGAGAAAAAAAAGAAAAGAGAAGAATTTAAATCTTACTTTTTCTGTTCACAATAACTACATGGGCTGAGCTGACAAGAACACAATTTAATGTCAAAGGTATTTCACAGCTTGCATTGCTGATGACCTTTAATTTTTGCTGGTGCTGCTTTAATGCACAGGAGTTTAGGAGTTAATCTGGAACAACTAGAAATTGATGTTTATGTGAAGATTAAAGCCAGTGACATTTACCAGACACTTACTGGAGAAGCTGATTGGGAGTCGATGGAGGTTTGGTTTGGTTTTTGAGCTGCCTCTTTGTTCTGCGGGGTTGCTAATATTCCCAAATGCAGTATGCTTTTATCAGTGGCATCTGTGGTGCACAGCCTCTGACTCATGTGCTCTTTGAGTGAGAATGACACAAGGAGAGAAAAGACAAACAACTCCCTTGGCTCTATGAGCACTCTACAGAGGGGGAAGGAGACAGTGGTCATCTTGGAAGGACCTTTTTAGCAGTACTCTTAATAATTACCACCCTGAAGTGGAGGAATTGTTTTTTCACTCATTTAGATTCTGCAGCCTGTGTGGTAGGGGACGGGAGTTGATGACGACCATCCTGTTCGTTGATGGAAAACCCTATGGGGTTGAGGTCCCACTTAGTAGAGGCTGGTAGTTTGCAGAGGAGGAATTGATCGGAAATTGGCCCAGGGACCTTTCTTTGAAAGTTTGTGAAGCATCACATGTTCTTTTCAGCACCCTCTGAAATGTTCTTAGTGTAACTGAGGTTATCCTGTGTGCTCTGTGTCCTTACTTGGCTGATTCTCTCAGCTCAGAATTTTAATGTACCACACTGTAGCAAGTAGCACATCAAACGATTCAGCCCACAGACCATTCCTATTCTTCCAGCAGAGGTACTGACAGAAAGGGGAATACCCCTTTGGCACCAAACTACTTCAGTCAGTGGCACCAGGTCAGGTATAAATAGAAGATACAGATTGCTGATCTCTTAGATACGTTACTTCTGTTAAGAGGCTATAGAGAGTCTCTGCTTCCCAGCCCAATACATCAAAGATTGTCAATCAA